CCCCCACAGTCATTATTTGGAAAAGTAAATTAAACAATGCAGCTGTCAAAATTTATCTTACTGTAGAAGGCTTATTCACATTCTGTGGTTCCACACAGTGGAAAAGCTATATGTAAAGATGTTTCTATTTTGTTACTTAAAGATACCGCTACTATAGCTCATACAGACTGAGGCAGTAACACATACAGAATAATCTCTTTCAAATAGAAGTAACTGCAGTTACATTGCTATATTTCAGCCTGAAGGATCACAAAGCATTCTGAAAACTACACTGAACTCCATGTCAGCTGTGCTGCAGTGAAACAAACACCTTTTATATAGAAAGTTACTCTTCACTAACAGTCCTATAAATTGTGTATGGCTCCAGTAATGGTTAGGGGAAATAAGAGCCAAAGTGAAAACAAAACAAAAAAAAAAAAATGCAGGATGAATATAAAGGGGCAGAACAACAGAACGTTAATTTAGAAATTTATTAAGACATCACTGCCTCTGTCCTTCTAACAGGCTACACCACCGCTTGGTGATGAGATCTGGACTACAATATGACTAGCATGCTGAACTTGTATCTTCTGCAACCGACATCACTGAACTTTTCCAATGCCTGGAAAACAAAGATGACACTCAATGCAGGGTAAAACAGCAGACAAATATTTGAAAGTGCTAACCAGGAAACTGACTTCAACTTGAAGTGACAGCACCCAGTCATTGCTACGCTTCCATAGGGCCTTGAAGATATGCACTATTTTGTATTGCTTCAGGACAGCAACTGCAACAACAGTAAGGGAAATGGGAATCAAGGGACCTTCACGATCAGGAAAACAACCCTGGCATTTAACTTCTGCCTTTATGTCCTACAACATACAGTATGGGGAAAGAAAGAAATGATGCAGAACTCTCAGAAGCCATCCAAATAGTAGTCTCCATTAGTACATCACATAGCAACTGTTTGTTATCCCAAGATCATACCATAAGAGCTCTCATGTACTTCAAACATCTCCAGCCTGCATCAGCCAGGGTTCTCAGGATAATCCAGAGACCAACCTGCTCTGGGAAGGACCTGCAGCTGCACAAGTCCAGGACACAGCCTGCAGAACAATTCATACTTCTAGGACCTTGATCATTGAATAGTTTCCATATAGATTTTAACTAAACCCAAGCTTGAGCATATTTTGATATATGCACAAAACGTACATATCTTCTCTGATTCTCTCGCAGCAGTGTCACTGCCATGTCTCCTCTATTACAAAGTAGCTTGGAAAAAGGCAAGCACATCTACACTTGCGAGGCCTGGCAGGGGTGTACAGAGCTTGGGGGGACAACTATGGAGTGATACTGCTGACATGTGCATTTGCTACTCAGGTACAGCAGTCAGCTTCAGGCCCAGCATTCAAGCTGTTAATTTTCATTTTCAGTGCTGTAGTTGTACAAAAAGAGTTGAACCATGGGAGATCAAAAAAACATAAAGAAAACAACACACAGGCATCAGCTTGCCAGGTCTTAATGGTCTTACTGAAATGACTAACACAACTTACAGCAGCTTTTTTCAAAATGATCTTTTCTTGGGAGAAAGGATGCAAAATTAAGAAACTGAAGAAGTGCAAAAAAACCAAGAAGCAACAGGTGAAAAAATACAAGGTGGCCTGGAACAGCTAGGCAATTATCTAGACAAAGACTATTGGCATACACACAATACATAAGGTAGTGTGATATAGGAACACTTCCTTAAATAGGATATAATAATATTTCATTAGCTTTTAGAATGGTTAATTACCCTTATCCGCAGTGCGGTAGAGTGGTGACAGACCACAACTTGAGCTTTATAAGTGTCTTATTGTCCTGGTTTTGGCTGGGATAGAGTTAATTTTCTTCCTAGCAGCTGGTATAGTGTTATGTTTCAGATTAAGGATGAAAATAATGTTGATAACACACTGATGTTTTCAGTTGTTGCTAAGTAGCTTTCATACTAAGGCAAGGACTTTTCAGCTTCTCACGCCCTGCCGGTGAGGAGGATGGAGGAGCACAAGAGGCTGGGAGGGGACAGCCAGGACAGCTGACCCAACCTGGCCAAAGGGACCTTCTGTACCACAGGAGCTCATGCTCAGTACATTAACTGGGGGAAGCTGGCCAGGGGCTGCCGCTCAGGAACTGGCTGGGCATTGGTCGGCAAGTTGTGAGCAACTGCATCGCACATCATTTGTTTTGTACATTCTAATGCTTTATTATCATTATTTTCTTCCTGTTCTGTTGTCTTTATCTCAATGCAGAAGTTTTACTTTTTTCCCTGGATTCTCTCCCCTGTCCCCCTGAGGGGCAGGGGAGTGAACAAGCAGCTTTTTGGTGCTGAGTTGCCAGCTGGGGTTAAACCACAACATTTATTTTCAACATACTGTCTTCTCATGTACACCTTTAACTTTTAAAGTAACTACTGTAGCTACTGTCAAGCCTGTTTCTTATTCTATGCTTAAGCCTACTTTGTAAGAGAGGTTAGCAACAATGTTATGCAGAACAGATTTAGAGAAAACAGTTTGCTCTGTGCACGAGTGCACTATTTGTACGGGCTCCAGATGTGAGCGCACACACAAACCAAACAAACAAAAAAAAAATCTTAAACTGACTATGACAGTTAGATCAGCACTGACAGATCACTACACCCAAACTGATCCTGCCTGCTCCCCAACAGACCTCAGCACAGTTTACCTGAGCTTTGCACATCCACAGATACTACTACTTCTCTTATACCTCACTATATTTTCAGTATTTTCCTCCTTCCCTGAGGGCCACTTTCTAAGGATCCATATACACACAGCTGCTTTCAGTACTCACCTCTCCATTCTCTCCTCATCCCACATAAAACCCTACTGTAAACAGGAAGAAAGAAAAAAAAAAAAAAAGAATCTAGTCATTTTTTCACCTCTTAATTTGTTCACGCTTAAAGAAGAAAGACTTCCACCTGTATTATATGAAGCTAGCTCCTGACATGCACAAAACTACGTGTATTTACTTTTTTGCTTGGTCAGAGCATGAAAGTTTCCTCACTTACAAGTACTTCCTCTACGGAAGGAAGAGTTAGATGTATTTGGAAATCCTAATTATTTCTCACCATCTTTTTAAAATTTCTTCTACACTCAAAAGCAGCAATCTGCAGTTTCCTGGTACTGGTGGTTCCCGACCCTTGCGCTGTATAACCCTGCACTTACTGGCATTCCGTCAATTTACTAAAACCATTATTGTGAACATTTGTTAAGGGCTTCAATGAAACCGGATTGGCACCCCCTGACACACCTCAACCTACACTTGGATCTGCTCTAATGCACCACTGATTTGCTCTTTCGGATGATATGGGTGGGGGAAAACATGCTGACCAGCAAGCAAGATCCACTCCCTTTCCCCAAAGTACACCAAAAGCAGCGTGTTTGAACCTCACCACGCAAATCTATAAAAACTTGGGACTATTCCGACCACCCGTCAGGACAATTCCACAAAAGGCAGCTTGACTGAAACAATTTAAACAGAAGAAAAAAAGAAAAAAAAAAACAAACTAACAAACAAAAAAAATCAAACAAGAAGCTAGAGATTTTACCTGCCCTGATAACTACTTATCTCAGCACACTGTAAATTATGGTCCTTCGAACTTCGGCCAACCCGTTCTACTTTCGCGAGGGACAGCCCGGGGAGAGGGCTGCAGACAGCCCACCAACAACGGGCTGCATCCTCCGCTTACCGAGAAAACCCCGTGCGGCGGCCGCCCAAGGCTCCCCTGGCGAGCCCTGGGACCGCCAAACCCCTGACCGAGCCCTCGCTGCGAGCCCGGGGCCGCAGCGCGGTGCGGCTGCCCCGCGGGGTCCCGTCCCCCCGACCCCTCCACCCCCCCCCCCCCCCCCCGGCGGGGTACGAGCTGCGCTGTGAGGGGAAGCCCCGGAGGGAGCTTCCTCCGAGGCGGCTGCGGGGCTCTGGGAGCGGCGGGGCCCCCCCGGCGGTACTCACGTATCGGCTCACGAGGGTCCGGAGGAGGCTGCAATCCATGGCGGGCGGGCGGGCGCCGCTGCCCGGCCACTCAGGACCGCGCCGCCGGGTGCTTGCCGCCGGGCTCCCTTGCTCGCCCCGCTCGCCACATGCAGGGAGCCGCGCTCGCCCCGCCAGACCGCGGTTAACCCCCGGGCCCGGCGCTCAGCCGCCGGCCCCGCCGGCTACGCCATGTGCTCGCCGCCGCCGCTGCGGCGCGGCGCCCCGCGGCCCCTCATGACCCCCCGCTCCAACGCTTTCGCCAAGGGGAGGCGGAGAAGGCGAACCGCCGCCGCGCTGACCGGCGCTCCCGGGAAAGGTGCTCCCGGCTCCCGCCCCCCCACACCCCCCACGCTGCTCTGCCCGCCCCGCGTGGGCCGCCCAGGCGCTTTATCTGGTGGGGGGAGGGCTTTGGCGGCAGCGGGGGGGGTGGGTGGGGGGGTGCGGGGAGCCGCCTCCCCACGCCGCTCCACTTCACACGCGCGGACCCGCCCGGTTACCGGCCCGGCCCGCGCCGCTCCCGCTTTGATCTCGCCGGGCGGCCCCGGCAGACGCACGTCACTCAGGGCGTGCATGCGCGCGCCGCCACCCCCCCCCCCTCCCTCCCGCCTCCTTCCCCACACACGGCGGCGCGCGGCTCCGCTGCCGTTAACGGCGGTTAATGGCTTCCTCTTCCCCCCCCCCCGCCTCCGGCCCGGGGGAGGCGAGCGGAGCGGTGTAAAACCCACCGGGAGGAGAAAAAGCGTTTAAAACGCCTCCTTCTCCCCGCTTTTGTCTGCCCGGCGCTCCCTGGCCCCGCTGCCTGCCACGGCGGAGGGAGAAGCGAGGCGGGCGCCCCGCGCTGAGGGGAAGCGGGGGGGAGGGGAGGGGGCGATGAGGAGGCAGCGGGTAACCGGGAGCGGCCGCCGCGCCCTTCCGGGGCGCTGCGGGGCGGGCGGGCCGCCCGTCGGTGCCCGGAGCGGGGGGGGGGGGGGGGACGGGACGGGACGGGACACTGTGTCTGCACCCGGGACAGGTGGAAACTTCTCCCGTTTGCAAAGCGCAGCAGAAACAGTGAAATCGCTGGTCAGTGGGTGCAGCCCATTAATAAAGCCCGGAAACAGTAGAAAAGACTTGTAAGTGAAAGGATAAGCAGAAGCCAGCAAAAATGTGCACAAAGTAGGAGCGTAACTTATTTTTTTTTTTTTAAGATACCTGAAAGAACACCTTTCAAGGCCTTTGTTTTCCTCAACCGCTGTGTTTTCATTCTATTCAGACCAAAGGAGTCGCTCAAGTTTGCAGGAATCCTGTAAGTAGTCTCAGATAATTTGTGTATTACTCTGTAGGACTTAATATAAAACTGAGACTTTAAATACTTTTTCCAAAATGAATTTAAATTTCTTAATTTAATAAAATTCAATCTTTCACTAAAAGAATTTTAACACAAGCAAACAAAATCCAAAGCAATTTATACTTATGCAAATCCATTCCCTTCTTTACTGCCCGGCTCATGGCCAAAACTAAGCAACTTTTGCTCCTTTGATTTTCATGTTGTCACGATCCAGTTATCTGGACACCATAAAATCTTCTAACCCAAAGAGTACCCGAATTTCTAATACAACTAACAGGTGGAAAAAATAAGAGATTACACAATTTGAGATCATCACCTAAATACTAAGAGGAAGGACATATGACTGATTCTTTACAGGTCACCTTTAATTTAGATGCATTATATATGTTCAGCATTTTTCATTACTGGTTAGATTGCAAAATGTATAATGCACTGTAAGTGCAGTGTGGTCAAGCTAATGTTGCTATTCGAACTCTAAAGTGATGTTGGTCTAAAACCTCATTTTCTACATCTTGGTTACTACTAATGATTTATATTCCTTTTGCAGCACCTCCCATTTTCATGCTTCTACTTACAGACCTGACACTTCTGCAACACAGCTTTTTGTACTTACATTTCACTTACGAGAAATTATCACTGAAACTGAAAGGGAAAAAGAATTACAAGAGCTATGAAACAACAGGAATTATTCTCAAAATTAGCAATTCTGCATGAGTTAACACACAACTACTTTCCTGTCTGTTTATTTGCATAATCGATGACATATTAAAATAATATTAATTGTGCGTATCATCAGTCTTTAGGAAAGTTGTTTATTACAAAAAACTTAGAAGAACCTAATTCATGAACATAAAGTGATAATGTCACATACACAGACTGCAAAGCTGAAACAGCAAATTGTTTTAGTTGGTTTTTAGGATACTTCTCTGTCCAGCCATTCCGTTTTCAAAGAATCTGTGGATTATTCACATTTTGTAATCTTTTTATGAGTTAGTCCACTTTTAGTTAAACTGTGCCATTTAATCAATCCAGTGTCTTTAATGACATTGCTTCTTACCCAGATTTTGAATGAAAGCAAATTTTCAAATTATACAGAAATTTGCTTTTTTTTGAAGTTTTATTTCTCTCAATACTTTCAGTAGTTTAATCCAAATACTGCAATATATTTTCCACATAATTAAGTGCCGTTTCTTCATAAAAGCAGGTTATTACTCCTACAGGTTAAAACCTACAATATCTGTACCGTGTCTCCACTAGAGAATTTGCGTGCGGTGCCCACGCTACTTGGTGCTTTGAAGGGAAGGAGGTTCACCCGACAGGCTCTTCACAGTTAACAACAGCTCAGTGCTGAGCACCATCGTCATGGGGATATTTCTCAGCTCCTTGCTGTCTCCTCAGCTCAGGTAAGCAAGGCGGGGCTGCAGGAAACATTTTCCACAAACCCAGAGCCTGGAGCCCACTCGTGGGTGTAGGTCCCACGTGGATGCAAAGGTTGGCTGTATTCTCTAAGGGGAAACGGGGACCACGGCTCCTGTTCTCATTGACTCTTTCAGTCCAGGACAGGGGGAAGGGACACGCGTGCTCAGATTCGTATTTGCCATTTCTAGGCTACTGCTCAAGCTAAGCTGAACCATTTTTCTGCCCTTCTCGTTGAACCTGTGGCACTACGCTGCCAAGAAAAAGAAATAAAAGGATCACAGCTATATTCTGGGCACTATTGAGGTGAAATCCCAGTCTGCATTAGTTGTCTTTTGTGCCCGTATTTCCACAAAAAAAAAAGGAAACCTAAACGTGCAGCCCAGAAAAGAGCACTGGTAGGCCACCAAAAGTTAACACGGCACGCCCTTGCCGACTGAGCGGTGTTTGTGCAGAGAGAACTGAACAGCAGATAGATACACCTTTTTGGAGTGACAAGCTCCTCCAGGGTTAATGCGCAATGGAGCAAGGTGTTTAGGTCATACTTCTAGACTTGGGTATCTCAAATCTGCCCAAGTCAGGCTTAAGGTGCCTGAGCCCTTTATTGGATCTAGCCTGAAGTGACTTGCTAAAGGTCACATTGTGACTTAACAGTTGAGCCAAATGAACCTTGATCATATCAGTCATGGATCTGTTCTGCCTGTTATGCAATATTTCACTTTTAAGCAATTTATTAAACTAATCGTCTTTGTCTTTGAATATGCCATCACATTTATTACACTCCTCATTTCTCATTTTAAAAATAAATCCCTAAAATTACCTGTATGCTGTCTCTACCTCGTATGACCTAGCTGTCTTTTCTAAATTTCTTGCTGCTTTTCTGACTGCAGATTAGACCTTCTGTTCTATTGCTTTCCATTTCTCCTTCCTGTTCTTACTGAATGATTCCTTCTGATCCATTACTAGCCTCTCAGCCTACTCCTACCTGCCCAGCTGAATTACCAAATGTTCTAGATCTTACTAGTTACCACAGAATCTCACACCCCTTCTGATTTACTTACCATACCAGTACAGCTCTGCTTGAAACATCCCACTCATTGTTTAAATAGCATTAGACATCGAGGTTAATATGCTAGTGTGCAAAAGATTTATTCTTCCTATGTACAGCTGTACTTTCTGCTACTTTGCAATCCTTACTGAGTTACCTTGTTTTGTAATTGTAGTGAAAATGCTGAGAGACTGCTCCAAGGGCAGTAGCTCACTACACGCTGAATTCTTTTCTTGAGGTAGTGGTACTCTGTGGTTTAGTCCACCTCAGCTTTGGAAGGTGGGAAGGGCAGGATTTAAAGCTGGGAACCAGCAAAGTTCCACAATTATCATAGGCGCAATGTTGATACAGTATACATCAATAATATGGTAGACATCAGAGGCACTAGAGTCCTAGATTTTAAGATTTTTAACAAATATTTAGATTCCTGCTTCCTATTATGTTGGTGACTGTGTACCTCTAGTAGCTCTGGACAAAGTGACTAAATACTTCTTTAAAAACCTGTAAGTGGTAAGAGTTGACTTGGGCATATGTGAGAACAGTGCGAGGAGAGGGAAACAACAGAGATTGAAAAGCCATTAATTGCAAGCAGCTCATCTGCTTGAGAAACCAGTGTATGCTTTTGAGTGAAATTGCTTATCCTGCAGTGTTCCTGGCTTTTCCCCTACAAATATATCACTTCTTAATTGTGTCTCTCCCTCTATTGTATTTCTGAAAAGCTAATCAAAAGAACAACTTCTTCTCTTTCTTGTGTCTATACCATATATTTAAACTGGTTAATTTGTATTAACAAGGGAAATTATTCCCTCAGTGGAACAGATGTTTGTGCTTTGATCTATTGCAAATAGTATTTTCTCAGATCTTTCTGAATATCGTTTGTGAAAAGAGATACCGACACTAATTTTGAAGTCTTTTGTTTTATGTTAAAAACATTTCACTGCCCGGTGTTTGTGCTGGATGTACTTCATTTGAAGAGGAATGTAATTAACAGTTATTGTGGTACTCTGAGGTGCCTTACCTGCCATGGTAAGCATGGCCAAAGCATGGTAAGCAAAAATGGCCAGCATCAAACTGCTGTGGTGATGATTTTATTAGGAGTGGCCCAAAGAACAGAGAATTAAGCACTGGAGATTGAAGATCACTTCACTTTTGCTTGACATTCTTTGTCTAGATCTGTTTTTTCTAGCAAGTACATGTGAAAATAAGACATATTTCTGACTCTTTGACCTCTCTGTTTCTAACCTCTGGCAATAATGCATAAAGTCTGTTGTACTCAAAAGCTAAATGCACTGTCATTATGACAAGATGTAATTCCCACATCCTTGCTAACAAAGGTGACCTTTGTTACATAGTTTCTTAACAAAAGTCCCTAAAAGAACAGAATTTGGCTTCTAAGTATCCGACATGATCGAATAAAAGCACATCAGTTAAAATAATTTGGCTGCAATCTTCTGCCAGCTCAGACAGTTCTCTGCAATTACAAACAAGATTTGTTCATCTGCATTACCTGTGTATGTGTAACTTCATGAATCACAGGGAAATTTTGATCATTAGTGATAATACATCTTTGCAAGGGATCCAGCCCTTGGCTGCTGCAAATTAGTCCTTTTCATCAGGAAAGGTGCAGCATTCAGGGATGTCTTACTAGGGACACAAAACAGTAGATGGTCCTGTCACGTGGACCATTTGGGAGACTTGCTCCATCCCTGTGAAACGGTGTTATTAAACACATTAAAAGGAAGCCCAGCCTCCACTAGAGGAAGCTTCTTCTAGGACAACATGGTGTTGGCTGCTATGGTTACTACTGTGATCTTCTGTTTACTTCCTTGTTAACTCACCTGCTTTCCCATTCAAACATGATGCACAAGTACCTTCAGAGATGTTTGTTGCTGGAACAGTGACAAACCTCATTAGTGTCAGCCATGCACAACTGAAGAGGAAAAAAAGTACAAATGAGCAGTGAATAAGCAGAAGAATGGTAAGTGCTGGAATCTATAGGTGTTGTGAATAATATTCTGTCCTTGCTGCTGTGTGAACTTTGTGTGCTCTTTGCTTTGGTTCTGCATTAATGTTAGTCATGCCTTATGTCTCTATTTTACACTTCAGTGCCTTGATCCGGCAATGAACTCCCCGCAGTCAGACTCCTGTGACTGAGGAGCTGAGTGCAGTATCACGATCTAGATGAGGAAAGTATTGTGGTTTATTTTTAGTATCTTAAAGAGACAGAACATTGTTTTGCTATTTCATTTTATTTTTGGTAGTACTTCACAGGTCTAATTCCCACCTTTATATCTATTTTTTTCACCTTTTTCATTGTTCTGATCAGCCTGTCTAACTGTGTAATAGCTCTACACTGTGAAAGTGTCAAATTCCAAATAAATTGCATGTCTCGAAGCTGCTTTCCTCCCCCGTCCAGATATCAAGAAAAAAGAGATTACTTTTTTAAAAAAATGGAAATTCCTGTCATATTCCACAATAATAACCAGATAGACTAGTTAGTTCAACTAGTATTTGTCATAACATACTTCCAGGTTAGCAAATACTTTTTAGCAATAATTTCCAAGTTAATACAACTAGTATTCATGGTAACATACATCCAGGTTAGGAAACTCTTTTTGACACTATTTTCTAGCCAATAAAAGCAAGCAGCTGATCTTCCAAAAGGATAGTAAATAAAAAGGATATCACTTTCTGGCTACTTTAATGTCATCTGTAGAATTATTTTTGTTCTGATGTAGCATTCAATCGAAGCTGGAAGAAATCTTTTAGTGATTTGTTCTTTCCCACCAAATAAGGCACTAAATATAGCAGCATCAGCATTCTGGGCTTCAAAAAAGCTGTGGTTCAGGTTTCTCAAGAATATCTGCTTTTTCTCCTGACTGTGTTCAATTTGTTTTATAACTGTTTATTTAGGAAGCATGAGTAGTTACAAATCAATACATAAAGTACCAGAAATATTAAACACTACAAAAATGAACCTTTTGCTTAGATAAAGATGATGCAGTGATACAGTCATCAGATTTTCCAGATTGAAAGTTACAACCAGCTGAAGGACAAATTCCTGAGGAAGGGACACAGCACTGCAGTCCAGGGCAACCTGACTGGTCCCACGGAGAGCGGCCGCGGACCTTTGCGTCGTTCTGCTCTTCCCCTCCCTCCCCGGCACGCCTGGCAGCTGCGTGCCCACCCACGAAGAGTGGGCACAGCGCAGCTGGAGAGGTGGCAGGAGGAGGGTGTCTGGGAGGAAGTCCTTCCTTCACCCCTCCAGGCCCCCTGGTGACCCCCCCCCCCTCAGGCACTGGGATGGAATTAGGATGGATATGGGCCATGCTCTTTTCTTTCCTGTAGGTAAATCCCAGATGACAGTGATGCAGACCGCCCCTCTTCCATTTCCTTTGTCCAAAAGGCATCAGCATTTTCTCTCAGATTAGCACAACTACTAGTATTCCAAGAAATGTTTTCCAAATATTTTTTGGTGATGTTTTCAATATTAATGCTTTATACACGGCTTTTTCATGTGCAGGCAACAAGTATTAAAATCTGCTTCTATGGCCACAGTTTATTGGATTGAGAAGTGGTTCTTTAAGATGCTGCTATGTTTTCCCTTACTGCAGCTACGTCTGGCTCATCTTCGTGAGCACTGCAGAGGCTTGGCATGATGAACATTGTGTGGACTGGGAATCTTGCTGTGAGGGAACATGGTAAAACTTAGCGTTTTGCAGACAGACTCAATGAAGTGCATGAGATTCCTGGAGCTTTCAACCATGACAACATTCAATTCCATCATGTCACTTGCTGTGAAATGTATAATGGCCACAGCCATTGCTTTATTTTCCTACAGGAGTTTGCTTTTAATTTCAGTAAAGTTGCAGTTACAAGTTTATTCCAACTTGTAATTTATATATTACTAGAAATTATGTTAGTTAAGTAGGCAATAATTCTAGGAAGAACAGAGATGCACTAACACAAATGTTTACGTCCTTATGAAAGGGCTTATAAAAATAAAAATTAGAGTTGCATAAAAAGCGAAAACTAAATATTATATTAGAGTTTTAATTGTCTATCTTTCCAGAGTATAGTCTTGTTAAATATCTCTGTATTATCTGTAATTACAGAATTTTGAATTCCATGTTCTCTTATGACATTCTGCTCATTTAAATCTTGTGTAGGGGAGCAAGAAGGTGAGCCAGACTGATACAGAGGCTAGTATTCTCTGTGGACAGAAGTATTAACTGGCAAATCTAGGAAGTGACACAGATCTTCTGGTCTCTTCACAAATTTTATAAGCGAGGGGAAATTTGCGTAGGTCACTGAGAGTATGGAGGTAGATTTGTATGACTATGAAAGTGGCTTGCTCCCACAGAGTATGCGTGCTTTTGTTGTACTGGAACTTTGTTTTTTTCATGTCTTACTTTATATCACATAAAGGGCGTATGGATTCCATGCTAATTAGAAAAGGATTAATAAATGGTGGTGACAACATCCATGCCTTGTCATGATACTTCCCAAAGCTGTCAGTTCTGAAAGCAGGAAACCCACATGACTTACAGCTGTGTAGGAAGGAGAGCCAGTCAACAACGTCTACACAGCGCAAAAAAACTGGAGAGGGACAGATATTATCAAGAGGCTGTGGTTTGCAAAGCACCGGTTTCTTCTGAGATGTTAAGTCTGTGCAGATTAAGATGACTTGCTCTGAGGAAGCTCATGCTTCTGTGTAACTGGGCTTAAGTTCTGGTTCAGCAAGCCAAAGCTTTTCCTGACTTTGTGTTTACACTGATTCTAACCCGAGATGTCTGTTTGCTGGAGTAGGCTGTCCTGGCAAGGGAAATCAGTTACCACCCTGTCAGCAAGTGAAAGTCTCTGCTGGGCCCAGGCAGAAGCTGCTGAAAGAGAGGATGTGACCTTCTAGTGTCCAGAAATGTGGGACAGAATAAAATGTCCTTAGCTGGGAATTATTCCAGGGGAACTGATGCTTAATAGTAGTGAACTTAAAGTGGAGGTGGATAATACTACCAGCAACCATTTAAGAGGGATATATCTTGTAGTAAGCTAAATACTATGATTAAGTGTCAGCAATGGTATTTGATGCTCTATAAATAGACATGTATACTAGGACAGACCAGCAGCAGCCATTCAGTGTTGACTGATTTTAAGACAGGCAAAGCTGTCATTGCTTTGCTCCGTTAAGATACTACTGCTTCTGCAGAGCTGGCTGGTGCTGGAAAGGAAGGGCCAAAGTGTGACAAGTGCATGATTTGTATCCTCCACCACCAGTGCTTTAACATCCCCAGGTGAGAGGAGAGAATACAAACTATCTTACGTCTTGTGTATGCCTCTTTCTTTTGCTTCCTAAAATAATTGTTTACTAGCAGTTCACTGCCTCAAATTAGGCCACCATTACAAATGATCTTCAGTGTTACTGCAGAAAGATGTATGTAGCTAAATTTTCCTATACGTGGAGATACAGCTGTAATTTGAAGCCACGTGAAGGATGAGTGCTGTCCTGAATCACACAGGCCTGCCCTGACGCATCTGAGCTGGGAAGTGTATGTGTATGTGTGACATTTCTAGAACTAATCATCATGGCAGAAGGAGTCATATAATGGGCATTGATTTATAACTGGATGTCTTTGTGCTGCTGTTGAAGTTGAATTCTATCAATTAGCGACGACTTTGCCTCCCCTAAACTGAGAAGTACATGAGCAAAGAGCAATTTCAAACTTTTGCCATAGTTTTCCATATTGCTTAGAGAAGGGAGTAAGGGAAATGTCAGCTTCTTCTGCTCTTCCTTGCTGTGTCCTCCCTCCCACTTTGGAAAGAGGAGGTGGCTTAGGCTACTCATCAAAGACAAGATACTAAGGGAAGAATTCAATAGTGAGAGAAGTGATTTATAAAGGCTTTCATACTTTAAGGTCATGAGTCAGGGATTCCTTCCTTGAAATACTTAGCCCTTAGGCCCTCTTCCCATCTTCACCTGCTATTGTGTAGCCCCATTGATGTCAGTGGGCTGGCATGGGTGTAACTGAAGTGAATTTGCTCCTAAGGTTCAGCACACATTATCAGTCTGAATGGCTTCTTGGGTTTCCAAGGAGCTGCTTGGAGGGTGAAAGGTGGTGATGGTAGAGCCAGAAACAAAGCCTTATGAAAAAAATGTGACCAAGACTTGGGTAACTGCTAGACAGAGAGAACAGAGATGAGAGGAAGGGAGGAGATGGAGCAGAGGAGGGATGGGTATTTGATAGCTTTTTATTTTATGAATTAATTCCTGACCTAATTATTTGTAAGTGTGTACACAGCCACATGCATACAAACTCCTTTTTTCTGTTTAACATTTTGATTACAGCGAGGCCAGTTAGTACTAGTCACTGTATATACACACACATGGTGATAAAAAATCACGACACCTTTCTAATAATGCATAACCCAGCGGCTGATGCATTACACACATATATGTATATGGCGTATATACAGGATGATGCAATGCATATACATATGCATTACACTATTCATAAAGAAGAACTTGCTGCTAAGAAAGAATTGGAATAATGTAGCTGAAACTGTATTATTACATTATGTTACATATCCCTTAAGTGTTAGAGTTATGGGACATATAAGCTAATTTTAGTCAAGAATCAGCATATGTTGTCTGAGGTACATGACTAGACTGCTGCCAGTACCCAAGCTAGCGAGTGTAAAGAGAATTTGGATGGCCCCATTACAGCTCTCTAGTTTTTAGACAAGCCCTTAATGGCACTGAAACCCTGGATAATAAAAGCATTTGTTAAGTCATAGTACTTTCTATTCAGTCTCATACTCAGCAGGCACGAGAAGGCTGTGGGAATACTATATTACACTCAGAAAATTTTAAAAAGCAAACAAACAAAATTTTATCTCATGGCTGTGCATCTGCTGGTATCAGCAGGACATATTTAGCTGTGTTTTTACAGAAAGTAAACAGGTAATTGTACTTCAACAAAATCAGTGAAGTACTCTGATGGGATTTTTTTTTTTTAAGAACCATTTTATTGTACAGTGAAAGCATGGTTGGGCTTTTTTACTGCATGAAATTGGAAACTGATAGAAATATGAGTATTGAGTTGGTTTATTCTCATGTTCATCACAAACAAAGTACTATAAAAATAGCTTTACTGAATAATGCATTTAGTAATAAAACTATCATTATGTTCAAAGGCCTAAAGAAGTATTGAGGTGCTGTATATGCCAATAATATTATACAAATGCACTAGAAAGACTAGTCTAGAAGCCAAGATTTTAATTTTATATTAATTAGTGGACAAAGAATAGCAAAGAGCAGATAGCATGAGACCACCCTACTTTTATTACATTTCTAAAATGCTCTTATTCCAAATACACAAGCACTATTACTTGAAGTAGATATTGCTGCTTTTACTTAAGTATTATTTTCACTGAGAAAGAATAACTGTGCTTCCTTTTTGCCCAGCAATTTTCCTCCTTTTGTAATACAGTGATATGGTTCTGCATAACATCCTGCACTATATACAGTTTCCAGGTGTTGCAGCCACTATTGACAAAACCTAACGTGTTGTCTCTTTTTTATGTAGCCTGCTAAGTTTGCCAGGAAAAGGTGAAGACAATGAAATTTCCTCCATGACTAAGGTAAAAAAAGTGCTTTCTGAGGAAATATCCTTTCCTTTTTCAATAAACTTGCATGTTATTTTTCCTGTACTGATAGGCTGCCAAGGCTTTTTTATTAAAAGCTAGAAATTTTGGCATGGATTCCCCTCAGATCTGAGTGGATTGTTCATACATCTGACGTAGGCACATATGAGGCAACTGATTTATCATGCTTGAGGTTTTGTGTCTTTGACATTTATATCATAAAATCAAAACAGCCTGGAATTGCACAGCACTTCTTTGCAAACAGGGAGGTGTGTCCCTGCAGACTTCAGTTACTTAGCATGGGTTTAATGGTAAGGGGTAAATAGCTGTAAAGCAGCATAATAGCACTCTTCTGACTTATATGTCATATTTAAAACTCTGTGGATGTATTGTTTCTGATAGGTAGGTATAAACAATGTCATAATTTGATGCCAATCACACCCAGATTACATTTTTATGATCTGTTTCAGGACAGGATTTAGCACCAACCTGACAAGGGGGAGGCAGGGGACTCCAGCTGTAGCAGCTGCAGAGTATGTCAGATGCTGTGCTACATTATATCTCAGCTTCTATTCAACAGGTGAAGAAAGTCTTAGCCTGTCCTAATCTACAGTGGTAAACTGAAATGGGAGGTGAAGCGGAAATATAGGCAATTAGATGTCAAAAAATAGCTTGACTTCCCTAAATCTGCCCAGTAGAAGTCATCTTTTGTATTAGCTAAATCATCTGAATTGTTAGGTAAGAAAGGAGACTCCAGAAGTGCTTCAAATTACCATTTTGGTCCTATTTGTGAAAAAGGATTATAGACAAAAATCTTTCTCCACAGTAGACAAAGAAATTGAGTGACTTTCTAGGATGCTCTTAGTTTGACTTCACAGCCCTGAGAAGCATTACAGAGCCAGGAATACAAGCTCAACGAAACTTTAAAGGACTTGGCCAGTTTTACAAAATCACTTACTGAAACTAAATCTCTGATGAAAGGAAACCAGTCTCCTGGCATTTAGTAGACACTTCCAGTCCCTGGAAAAAACATTCTTTGTGCTAATATGATTTATAGCACGCCATCAGGATTGATATTGTATGCTAGAAAATTTGATGCTGAAGTTGTGATGATTCTCATGTGACCAGAAGAGTCCAAATGCAGATTAAAAATTACATCTATATATCAGGGCCAGTAAAGAGGGAAAGAGTCAGTTCTGGAATAATATTATAGGAATACAAATGGAGTTGTATTAATCATGCATGATATTAGCAGGGCAGAAAGATCAGTGGAAAATGCTACCGTGCTTTGTCCAAAAGGAATATGTTAGTCCTGTTTAGAAGAGACGGGTGTAATGACAAGCAGTTAAATAGCATGTTGGCTGTCAGATAAGACTATTATAGCATACAGATAAGAGACAAACAAAATTTCCTTGCTTTTACAAGCTTTTACCTTGCTTCCATATGTGAAGATACCAAGGTTTTGCGAGTGATTGGAACTAGAGATACAAAGAGCTGAAAGTAACTTGTTCTCTGAAGAGTGGAGGTGCCAGTCTTCCTGAAGAAGACAGGATGATCAGGAATATACATGTTTTTTCAACCTCTGATCTCACTTTCATTGTGGTGAGTTTTTGTCTGCCATCTTATTTCAGGTCCTTTCCTTCATAAAAATCTCTGATTCAGGAAAGATTTCAGAGAATAGAGAAGGCAATCTTAAAAGCATTATTTTCCAGAAGAAATATATTTAAGAAGTTATTTTTCTATATAAGAACATAGCAAATGTATAAATGTAAAGGAATATTCTTTTCCTTTCTCTGCAACTTTAGAAAGCATGCCTATTTCTGCTCATCTCAGTTTGTCTGTCAGTGATTCCATTGTTCTAGAAATATGTGCATCCAGTTTTGCTTCTACCATTTCTAAAGATTTCAGGCTAAGTATATAGCTGCAACTTTCACATATTCTGTATTCTCTAATAACCTAGATATTAATGTTCAAGAAAGGATTAAAATCTGGGTTAAAAACTGGTTGGATGTCTGGTCCCAAAGAGTTGTGGTGAATGGTTAAATCCAGTTGGCAGCAGGTCACAAGTGGTGTTATCCAGGGCTCAGGACCAGGGCCACTTCTGTTAAATATCTTTACCACTGATCTGCATGAGGGGGTCGAGTGCACCCTCAGTAAATTTGCAGATTACACCAAATTGGGTGGGAGTGTTGAGCTGCATGAGATTCAGCTTGAGACTAGGCTTGAGAGTAGAAATGCGCTACAGAGGGATCTGGACAGGCTGGATCGATGGGCCAAGGCCAACTGTACGAGGTCCAACAAGAACAACTGTTGGGTCCTGCACTTGGGTCACAACAATCCCTGCAACGCTACAGGATTGGGGAAGAGTGGATGGAAAGCTGCTTGACAAAACAGGATGAGGGGGTGTTGGTCGACAGCCAGCTGAATATGAGCCAGCAGTGTGTCCAGGTGGCCAAAAAGGCTGATAGCATCCTGGCTTGTGTCAGAAATAGTGTGGCCAGCAGAACGAGGGAAGAGATTGTCCCCCTGTACTTGGCACTGGTGAGACCACACCTCGAATATTGTGTTCAGTTTTGGGCCCCTCACTACAATAAAGACACTGAGGTGCTGGAGCGTGTCCAAAGAAGGGCAACGAAGCTGGTGAAGGGTCTGGAGCACAAGTCCTGTGAGGAGCGGCTGAGGGAACTGGGGTTGTTTAGCCTGGAGAAAAGGAGGCTCAGGGGAGACCTTATCTCTCTCTACAACTGCCTGAAAGGAGGCTGTAGTGAGGTGGGTGTCAGCCCCTTCTCCCAAGTAACAAGCAACAGGACAAGAGGAAGCAGCCTCAAATTGTGTCAGGGGAGGTTTAGATTGGATATTAGGAAAAATTTCTTTACTGAAAGGGTTATCAAGCACTGGAACAGGCTGCCCAGGGACTTGGGGCAGTCACCATCCCTGGAGGTATTTAAAATACATGTAGACGTGGCACTTAGAGACAAAGTTAGTGGTGGACTTGGTAGTGTTACGTTAACAGTTAGACTCAATGATGTTAAGAGTCTCTTCCAAGCAAAATGTTTCTATGATTCTATGATTATTAGGGGACCATTTCCTTCAAGGTAACTTGTTTTGTAGTGCCTCATGTCGAATCCACAAGTCCAGATGTACCAAACCCACAAATTTTTGTTGTGTTTCATGTGTGTGGCTTAATTTCAACCATGTTTGACTAAAATGAGACCACTGAATTCAGTTCAGATATTTCTACTTGTTCAGCCAAACTACAGGTTTGTGAAACCAATTTAAAAATATACTGGTAGGGCCAGGAAACTGAGAGTAGAATATACAGTGAATACACTGCTCTGCATACTCTTGAGACTTTTCCTTTCATTTTTTTTGGCTGTAATTTAAACTTTTATGACTTTTCCACATCATTCCTCTCTCAGTTGGGTATGATTATTATGTTTACCAGGTTTAAACTGATGTCATACAAGGCTGAGACACTTCAAGAAACTGAAGGCAACAATCCTTGCCTGGAATTTAATCAGATTTTTATGTCTGTTTGCACTTTGGCTTAAACAACTAACAACTTAATAAGTATTCTTTGCTATAACTAAATATGCCTAGTTTTAATAAAGAAAAGCAAAAGAGCTACTAGTGTAATTACTGACTTCATTGTGGGTTAATGCTCATCCAGTGCCCTGTTGGTCTACATTGATAGGGAGGTAATTGGTTTATGTGCTAAGAAAGCTGATTATGTTGCCCAGACCCTTAGGCGTCTTAGCAGGAGGAGGGTCTGAAAGATGTAGAAAATATGTAGACCAGAAGTATCCTCATGTGGGAAGATACCTATCATTTATGCAAAATCTTCATTAGGTTAAAATCTACTTTTCTGTTACATACTTCCTTTCCCACTATGGTCCATTACTCACACATTCTAAGGATTATGTGTACTTCTGTCTTATCTTCCAGAGAAAAGCAAACTGGAGGAACTAAATACATGTTAGAAGGGCTGAAGTTGCTGGGCTTGAGCATGGGACACAGCAGCCTGAAGCCCACACTGTAGCCAGTGAAGGCTACAAGAAATCAGGAGAGGTCAGAATTGTAATTAGCCTAGTCTTTGTGAGAGCCAGTCTCTCGTTTTCTTGAGCTCTGTCCTCTCACACAGACAATCTGGAAAGGAGTAACTCTGTAATGATTGCCTGAAAAAGCAGGACCAGGAACTGCTATTCCCAGCGAAGCTCCAGCGTGACACAGAAGGAAGTCAGGCACACCTGTACGTGCTGATTCAGCTAAGGCCCTGCTGGAAGGAATTCTTAAAGCAAATCAGGCCAGACACTCCAAGCACAAAGAAGAAGAGGTCTAATATCTTTATATACTAACCATTGCCCTGCTCTGACAGATAGACTTTAGTCTGTCAGTTCATATCTAGTTAAACTATGAAAAAAATTCAAATCCTGTTGCTTCAAAGGCAGAGTGAACTTGATACTGTCTGATACGTCATTCTGGAATAGCTGACATGCAAATCAGGATCCAAAACATTTACTCTTTTATGCTCATCCAGGTGCAGGCAAGATCAAAAAGGCCCCTAAAACCTTTGATTTATAGAGGGGAAACTGGGAAACTTGTCCAGAGCTTATAGAAGAACAGAGAGGACCCTGAGAGATGGGCAAGAATGCAAAAGACACAGTGATAAAAAAAGATCTGGACACCTTTTTCCTCACCCAAATGGTATTTCTTAGTCAACATTGCATTAGTGAAATTCTGAAGAGTCTTTGATTGACATCCTTGATGTGATGATGAGGTCTCTCACAACTACTTCTTCAACATTATTCACAGAGTATAAAGGACTGGGATATGAGGGTCCTTGGATACCACAGGCTATTCTTTTGGTTGATACTAGATGTCCTAGGGGATCAGAATACTAAGTCTGAAAGTTGCCTAACAGACTGGGTTTTTAATTGATAGACCACCAGGAGAAAGACGCAGGGAAGTAAGATAAATATTTTTGTGCTATGAATTACCTAAATTTTTAACTACCTACTCAATGGTTGTGGAGTGCAGAATAGGTGTATTTTGCTTACTGTTTCTTCTAAATTAATAAGATTTTCAGTCTTTTAATAAACATTCTCTTGAGCAAACCATTTGAATCATACTCTTGTATTTTGGATTTAGAATTAGAACAGTTTCAGGGGTGAAACAGCACTCAATTTCTAACAGGATTAGCCATTAAAACTTAAAACCTTAGATGATAAACCTTGGTGTCTCCCACTTGGCATTAGACAAGAAAGCAACGGACGAAAAAGTGCTGTCTCTTCAGTATCTTGTTACAAGAACATGGGCTAAAGGATATAAATAAGGGTTTAACCAGCACTAACACAGGATATTATACTAAGAATTCTTTCAAGAATACATCAAAATTTGCTAGACTGCTAGCTTTGTTTCTCCTAGCTGTGGCAATCAAGAATACCGTCATATTAGATTCTATGGTAGCTGCCTAAGAATAGGCTTTTAATAGAAAAATTGATAAATGCTAACCAATAGTGTTCATCCAAATCTGCATTATATGAGCTCTTATTTAACATGCAAAGACTAAGAAAATACACTAGAAATTTAAATAACTTTCTGAAATATTTGTCCCTTTTATCTATAAGAGGTACTCTAATCGTCCACAATATTTTGGGGTTTTTTTGTTCCATTGCCTGGAATTTATTTTGTCTTAGAACAGCACTTTTGTCCTCACTTGCCACATGAAACTGAGAGCAAACATGCATGGTGCATTTCATGTGTTGTTCTAAATCTTGATTTTAGCTCAGAATTTCCATATTATTTAAATGCAAATGTACACCATGGCATGAAATCTAGGTGTGCGGTTTGACTTGCTCTAAGTTTAAGTGTCTGCACTGTAAGAATCTCCACCTGAACAAACTCTCTGAACTCCTACTATTGTCAATGGAGAGCTAGTTAGTTCAGGCAGAGAACTCAGGGAAGCTTTCAGTTGACCAAATGTGTTTCCTTTGGGATGAAATAAATTGTCCTCTGCATGTGCTTGACCATACTGTCTTGTTGATTCAACTGAACTGTAGACACCTGTCGATATGCAGACATTTCCACTGTAGGTACCTAAAGTTTGATCAAGCTGAACCCTGCCCCAGGTAAACTGTAGGGCAGACTGGGAGACAAAGTAGAACTAGGCTAGGCCTCAATGCAACCCCAAGCGCACTCAAATATGCTGGCATCACTGCGTCCTGGCTGAGTCCTGCACAACATCCAGCAACAGCCCTTTTCAGTGCATCTTGTGACTGATCAAGAAGGGACACGTCAGCCCACCAGTCTGTGGCTAGTGTGGAAGTTGCAGTGGCCCTACATCGCCTGTGGCACGGACAGTTAGGGTCTGTAGGTAGCCAGAGCTCAGGCTGCCTCATCCTTTGCACAAAGTGGTTACAGGCCAAGTACTGAGCTGGGCAGAGAAAAGAAGTATTCTGGCCGTTACCCCACCCTCTGCCCTATGGGATAATATAGATGTACACACGGTGATTCAGACCAGATCCTACGGGAGGCAGGCCCTGAATTCCTGTGGGATTTTGTCTCCACATGAATTATTACAAGTTATATAGAAAATCTTTGATGCAGAATATAAACAAACTCTGGCACCTCAAATATTGGGCTAATGTTTTGACACATAGGTCATCCAACTTGAAGTGTCTCATGGCAATTTTTTAGTTTTCTGAAGTACATTAATTTAGTGTACTAACATGAGATTAAGAAACAAAACTGAAACTGCTTGTTAACTCTTTACCTCTGTTTTATTGAACAAGGAATTGTTTTAAATTCTGCTATTTTATTAAGGAGCACCAATCTGTCACAAAAAAGAAAATATCGGGTGAGGGAGAGGGAAGAAAGACAAAATTATTGCCAGTTTCAGTTTAATTTCTACTGGAAAATTACCTTTTATATTGTGCCTGAAGAGGAGACTATTAGAATATACATGAAACTTTAGAAGAGATTAAGAAAGGTGGAATTACTTATTTGTTTTCAGTGATGTTTGCATCTTTTCTGACTTATCTGATCAAGTCTGGAGGTGTATTTTAAATGGGCTTGAACACATTATGCATTTCTGGTTCCTTCATCTCAAAAAGGGTATTAGAAAAGATATAGAAAAGGATGACAAAGTTGATTCAAAGTGTGGAACAGATTGTGAAAACAGATCAGGACACTTTAGCTTGCATGACAGATGACTGGGTAGTAAAAAATAAAAAAACTCCCATGCATGACAACAATAATTCTTACTTTTCTTCTCATGATATAAGAACTTGGTGACAGTAGATAACAATACCGAACAGCAAGTTCAAAACAACATTCAAAGCATACCTTTTCACAATGTGTATAATTTAACTACAAAATCATCATCACAGGCTGATGCAGAGACCAAAAGTTTAGATTCAAAGAGTGATTCAAGGATTCCAAAAGTGTATAAAAATAATGGAAGAAAGTTCCATTAAGACCTCCTAAACAAAAATATATAGTCTCTGATTTAAGAGGTACATAAGACTCAGAGCAGAGAAAGTATAGGGTAGAGTCTTGCCATATGTTTGCTGTGTACACCATGGATGGTGTTTGCATCAGGGATATTGCTTGAGTTTAAATCGGCTACAAAATCACGTTGATATTTTTTATGTTTCCAGGACAGTATATTTAGAAGAGTCAGATGGGTGTTACATGTTCTTTATGTTTCTGAGTAAAGGTATTAAATTTGCTCAATCTAGGAAAAAATGGCAACATAGTGTATCCTGGGTAGAATTACAGAATCATAGAATGGTTTGGGTTGAAGGGACCTTAAAGACCACCTAGTCCCACCCCCCCTGCCCCGGGCAGGGCCCCCTTCCCCCAGCCCAGGGGGCTCCCAGCCCCGTCCAACCTGGCCTTGAACCCTTCCAGGGAGGGGGCAGCCACAGCTGCTCTGGGCACCCTGGGCCAGCACCTCACCACCCTCACAGTATATAATTTCTTCCTTAGATCTAATCTAAAGCTACCCTCTTTCAGTTTAAAACCGTTATCCCCTGTCCTACCACTATGCTCCCTGACAGAGTCCCTCCCCACCTTTCCTGTAGCCCCCTGTAAGTACTGGAAGGCTGCTGTAAAGTCTCCCTGGAGCCTTCTCTTCTCCAGGCTGAAAAACCCCAACTCTCTCAGCCTGTTCTCATAAGGGAGGTAGGTGCTCCAGCCCCCTGATCATCTTCATGGCCTCCTCTGGACCTGTTCCAACAGGGCCATGTCCTGTTGGCTGTAGCATAGGTAGGCAGAAAGAGGGTACATCTCTGCCTTATGTTGGGAGGGGTGTGGTAGGATGATTGTGAATGGAATGTGTGAATTCAGTGAAGGAGAGGATGACATGGGTGGTTTGTGGAGTTTAGTTTGTATATATTATATTATGTAAGGCAGATGTAAAAAAGTTTCATGCTTATAGCCTTAGAATGTGCAGCAATGTGGAGAGAGATTTTGGACTTGTGTTATTTTACATGATCTGTGTTCCCTAGTGCCTTGCACAGTGCCTTAGGTACCTTCTCCTTTCTATTGCTAAGGTCTCCTGTTGGCCCTTCTGGACCCTGCCTTTCCCTCCCAGCTGTGTGGTCCTGCCCCCGAGTTGCACCGCAGCCTCCGTCCTTTCCCCTCGGTGCCCCACGATGGTTGTTCTCACGCTGTTATTCCCACGGCCTCACCCCAGCCAACCTGCTGCTGTGGTGGTGGCGGGTTGTCCTGGGGGAGCAACCAGAACTGGCCAAGACTGACCCACCCCTCCACACCCCTGTCTCCCACCCCTTGGTCGTAGCGGCCGGCTGACCCAAGAAGACCTATGACCGACTGCACAACGCTTACCAACCAGTCAGCACACATCACTCAACGCACACCCAAACCAGGGATGACAACACCCTACGCAGAAACAACCGACAGGACCCGGGGCAGGTCCCGCGTCCACCTGGGGCATTGCTGCGGGGAAAGCGGGATGGTGGGTAGTACCAGCCGTCCGGGGGGGATGTGCATCAGAGGGTCTGCCATCCTTTCTTCCCTCAGCTGGCCACTAGGAACTGTTTTTCTCCCTCTCCTCCACTTTCCCCTTCCCAAAAAGCAACACTCAACGTGAGAGAACATACGGTATCAGCTGCGAGGAGTTGCCCCTGCTAATAACACTTGGTGCATATGAACCTGCCTCAGCATCCTCTGTGCTACAAACTGAATCTTTGTCAGTTTAAGGGCATTTTAGGTCAACATTCTTACACTCTGGCTTTGTCTTTGGTAAATACATTTAATGGTATATTGATGCCCTAATTATTGAGAGGGGAAAGTATTGCTTTTAAACCTCTCATCATATCTATTTTTTTGTCCTGCACCTTTACAGAAATGCATCCCTACTCTCAGAATCGGGTCTAACTGATTTCGGTACAGGACTGATTTTGGTATGGGAGGAAATACTGTCTTCACTTAGCACTAGGAACATGGAATTCCCTGTCTTCAGTTACGGAAGAAAGAGATGTAAAAACTGTTATTTCATGGGATGCCTGCCTGTCTGGGACTATAATACCAAGTCTATCCTATTTTCCTGGGCATTGCCTCGAAAGAAGATAAATCCCAAAGAGGTATAAACCTGCAGGGTGAGTACAGGTTAAATCTATTTTCAAAGTAACTTCATGCTGTCAGCACTGATTTTTCTATTTACTTCAGAAGGCAATAGATGTTTAGATCACTGGAGATTGGATTTAAAATCAGTTTCATGTGATAGAACCTCTATAATATGCATAACTGCGTATGGCTATAGAGTCTTGGACCAAAGCATCTTGATTTTGTCTGATTTATTAATCATGAGTCATTTTTTTATAGAGAACATTTATATTGTTGCTATAAGAACGTGTAAGCTGGGCTATTGTAAAGGCTGAGACCAACCATCTTTCAGATGAATAAGCTTATTTTCCTAATATTTGAAAAGGATTATATTTGAAAAGCTATGATAAAGTAGGAAATAGTCACATCTATTGTTTTGTAATGTGCAATTAGTTTTGTATCTAATACAAAATATCATTCTTCATTAAAGTCAGGTCAGTCCTGTACTATCAAATATAAACTGACATTTGAGAGAGTCGTAATTTTTTTTAGGGACAAATAAACATAGTTATTTGGAATCTTGTTTTTAACAAGATAAAAAGATTGAATTCCTCATCCATGAGAGAAAGCTGGTATTATTTTTCTTTTATTGGATATATTTTTTAAAACTGGTTGTACCCATTAAAAATACTTGAAATCTTACACAATGACAAATGCAACAAAATTAATTAATTTTAATAATTTTACTTTAATACAGTAAAATTGTTTAGGTTTTTGTCTTGTCCACTAAAGTTGACATACAGCTGCCTAGCATGAATAATATTCTATAGACATCCATAGCAGTTAAAAAAATCTAGGACTTATGAAAGCTATGACATAATTGTGAAACTATTGGAGCCTGCTAATTTGTTTTATATAATAATGTAATGAGAGGTGACAATTTGCCCATGTATTTTAACTGAGTACTCATTTTTACTTCTAATTTCATATGAATATCCATTCAAGTGCTTAAAGGAGAGCAGCCTTTAAAATATTTGCTCTGCTGTAATTATCTTTTAAGCAGAATTTTTTATCTTGCATTTTAATTAATGCTAAATGTCAATCTATTACATGATGTTTTAGCTGACACTTGCCACTTTAGCCTTTTCCTCATATACATTTTCCTGTGTATTTTAAAGATATATGTTCTATATCACTGAGCTGCATACAGATTTATAATCTAGATAGTTGTACGTCACTTATATAAAAGCTGTTTTACAGATCAAACAGCTTCAATTTATTGCCCTGATTTAAGGCATTCTACTTACAATACAATTCTGCCCAAGTCAGTGCTCCTTCATGACATCCCAGGGCAACTTTTATTTCTGTGCACTGATAAACTCTTGACATCTTGGCTAGCTTAAACACTAATACAATCCAAGAAAATTACTGTAAATCTTTGTAACTGCTAGAGGTAAGGCTGAGCCATCCTGGAAAGCTACTAGCTGTAATCAAGCCACAGAATCATGGAATCATTTAGGTTGGAAAAGACTCTTAAGATCACCGAGTCCAGCCGTTAACCTAACACTACCAAGTCCACCACTAAATTATGTCCCTAAGCACCATGTCTACATGTCTTTTAAATACAAGTAATTGAAATCCTGATTAAAAGTGGAATACAAATATTGTTAGAGTTGCAATAGCATACCTGTTTTATACACGTCATGTCAAAGAACCATCTCAACTGACCCTTGCAGTGCCTCTGTCTGAAGGTGATTAGAATATCATAAATGTAATATAGAGGAGGAACTAAATTAAATGTTCAAGACATAGCTCTGCTTAAAATTTTTTAACACGTACTACTAGTGACAGCTACCAGTAACATAACAGGTGAATCTTGATATTAATTTAATACTAACATGATACGGTTTTCTTTTCCCCTCTTACACATTTTCCCTGTTTAGTACATTAATAAATCCCATTAATATAACTTGAGCACTCAGATAGCACTTTCAGGATCAGAAAACCTTTGCAAGAAATGTTGACTTTCTAGGGCAACAGGGCCAAGAAGAGGTTCCCCCTCCTTGCTAGGACCTTTAGGCACATCAGTTAGCATAGTAACAGTTATGGTCACCTTCATTTCACTTCAATAAATTCAAGGAAATGCATTCAATTTGCTAATATGGAACTGTTAAGACAGAAAAATAATCCTGTATATTGAATTTGTGGATTTTCTTCTTTGACATATGGATACGTTGCTACTGGTTTATTGGCAGTTAGATCCAATATAAAGAATTGAATCTCAAGATACTATGAAGGACTAACTGGGCAGGAATTACATAAGTGACTAAATCTAGTTTTTCAAAGTGCAGATTAGCTCTTTGAATCGATATGTATTTGGCAAAAATTTTTATCATGGGATTATGGTTTTAGAGGAGAAATAAATGCGTTTCACCTTGTTCCTGGCACACAGCGGAGAATGGTCCAGAAAATGACCATATGCTGCATCTTTTTTCTTTGATACCTTTTCCACACTGGGAACTTTTTAAAGGCATGCAGTTATGCAAATATATATAGTGGATAGCTGGTACTTTTAACTGTGTTTCTAGGTAGGAGTAGAAGAGCAGCAGGAAGGCCTATAGCTCCTACAGAAGTGCAGGATCTCTGTGAGGTTCCACAGACTCCTGTGGAAACTGAGAGCTAGAACCTTGTGTTCTTACCTGCAGTGCTGCTATTCCTTCCGAAAATGGTATAAAGTATTTAACCTCAGGAAACTCCTGCAGGTACTGGCTCCCAGGACAGAATTTTTCCTTTAGTGGAAAAGAACAACATAGTCCTTTGGGGAATTTCCACCTTGTCTTGCAAGTCATCTGTGCTGAGTTGACAACTTGTTTCACCATGTTTACAGTGATGTTAAATAAGGTTATTCAGAAAATGTAATTGTACTGGTGTTAAGGTAAGTCAACCCCAACGTATTATAATATCAAAATATTCCAAATTTAAGAATTGTTTTTACTCGTATCTTTACATTTAAGGACAGAAAACTAAAATCCCTGCCAGATCATCATATAGGAAGAACTGTGTAAGACGCATTACATTTTTCTTCTAGATTTTAATCATAAAACACAGTTATTCTCACTGATAGGTTTTGTTCTGTGTATTTTCAGTCCAGGGTAACTATTTCTGAGTAATGTAACTGCCCTAGAGTAGTGTGTGTGTGTGTGTGGTCTGGGCAGGGTAGGAATTCATATTTCAGAAGAGGATTTAACATGTCTTCATCCAAAATAAATAAAATAGATATATGTTCTCTCAAAATCCTATCATCATAGTCACGGGAAGAATTTCAGAATTAATTTAATGCAAAATCTTTCTCATTAGTTTCAGATTTGTAGCAGCTGGGGCAGGACATTTTCATTTTATATGAGCAAATCTCATTCTAAATGAATGGAATGTGGATCAGTGTTTCCATATGAAGAGATGGTACTGCTGCAGCTCATCTTTTCCATCAATAATAGATACCTGTCACCCCTGGCAGTTAAGAAATCCTAGCTGGTACTGACTGCTTTCAGGTGTGTTTTAAAGTCAGACTTAAGCAAAGGTTCTTGTCTTGGCAGTTTGAATTATTATTTGACTTTACGCAGTTTGCATATGCAAGCAGGGCAGGTCATAAGTATGCAATTAATTATTAAATACACAATTATTAAATACAGCATTAATTATTAAATACAAAATTATAAATTCTTGAAGTTAGAGATCATCTGTTCATCATCTGTCAGAGGCAGATTTATTGCGATGGGCTAAAGGACTCTTAAGTCCTTTATTCTCTCCTCACAGCCTACTCCATTAGCACTGTCAGCCTTCATCATGATGGTAAAAAAAAAATCTGTCCAACAATGTTTCTCCCATAGCCACTTCATGACAGTTAAAGGCTATCCATAACAATGCCTTGATTTACTCAAACCAGTTTAATTTTCCATTAAAGCCTAATGATACTTCTCCCAGTCTTTTCTTAGCTCCGACAAGACAAAAGCATGACTATAGTTTATCAGCTAAGCAGTTTGTAGGAATCCCAGAAATACGCTGCCTTACAGTTGGCTGACACTGTGTGATGCTGCTTTCATAATGCTGGGAGATGTGGGTGTCTTTCTGACCAATCTAAGGTTGTTTTCTAAAGGATTCCCAGCAAATACAAGCATGCATACAATTCAGAATCAGTTTTGCAAGCATTTTCACTGTCCTTGGTGTAACCATGGTGTTGTTCCACCAGTGACTGGTCCCTAATCAGTGCTGTCAGGGAGCGGCAAGGGCCAAGCAGCAGAAGAGAAACATCTGTAGGGGCCAGAATGGAAGTGGACACTCCAGGCCTCATGTATGTCTTCAGAGGTGTTCCTTACAGGAGGACTAGGTCACAGCAGAATTTTAATCAAACAGAATGACTCATATCCATCTCTTGTATAAGTGAGAGGAACTCTGCTGAAGTCCATGGAGTTGATTCATGATTAAATATAGACTGTGAAACAAAATGAGGTAGAGTCCTAGTGCCATAAAAAGTTAAAATAGGTAGACTTGTGTGGCATCTACCTAGAGTCTTTATGGCAGCAGCTGTACATTCCCAGGAAAATGGCCAAGGACTTTATAAGGATGGCTCTAACCTATGCAAAACAGATGAGAACCTCTTCCTAGCAATAAATAAACTTGCTCATCTTTTGTCTGAGTCATCAAACTTGTCTGTCAGTGACCTCTAATTAAAGGTCTTTTTACTCTTTGTCCTTATTCTTGCCTACTTTTCCTATTGGTGAAATATAACATGTATATATAAATAATTAATAATACAATAATACATATCCAGGAAAATGTACTCCTATTTTACAGGGAGGATCTGACAAAAGGATTCCTTCCTGAGCTTTTGTCTGCAATGGTATTGTTATCAGTCAGCTTTTTTGCTTTTTCTCATGCATCCACACAACCGCTTTGCAGAGTATGATCATTTCATCTCTTAAAATAACATTCCGCCTATGCCATTCAGCACAGCAGTCTGAAAATTTACAAGAGAAGAAAGTACATTTCTAATGATGTTGAATTCTGAGATATTTATGCTATGCATTAGCACGTGTGTCAAAAGAAAGGTTTGGGAAAGACAAAAGGCTGCTCTCGTGCCTATGTATTTCTGAGAAATTAAATTATTTTTAACTAATCCACCATTTTTTTATACAGATGTACATAAAAAGTTATCAGTACTTCAACTGTAGAGATTAAGCAGAAAGACCATAAATCTTGGGCTAGAGGAGCTGGTGACGGTCTAAAAGGACATATTAGCCAACTACTTTGCAGATCTCAAGACTAACACAAGGACACAGTACGTTACAAAAGGGAACTCAAATGCTCCTCTCCTTCCTGCCCGCTTCTCCAGTTGGGAGCCAGGGATGTTTTTCAGCCAGAAAGTCTCTGCCTGCAGGGGAATGTAAGATTATGAATCTGTTTTGTCATGAAAAGCCTATGGGAAAACACGTCTTTGCTAGAAGTTATGGGTTATCGTAGCTGTTCATTTAAATTTGTTTCATCCTGATCACGTCATGAACAAGAGAATGTCGCAGCAGAAGCATATACATGGCAGATTGTCCAGATGCGTAGCAGGCTTGCTGAACGTAAAGGAGGTTTGCTGTCAGAGTCCTTGACTGTATCAGCAGACTGGGAGGTGACCGCCGCTTAGCCCGTGGGAAGCATGAGTGGTGCTGCTGAAGCTCACTGTGATAATGCCTGTGCTGTCTAGGTACAGACCAAGGACACGTCTGTCTGTGATCTCTACCGAGATCCACGTAACTGTTCCTCAGTGCATATTCTGCCTTGCACAGTTCTGTTAGCACGAAGCTGAACTTGGCACGATTACTACAGAGGCTTCTCTGGCCAGAACTCCTGGCAAGAATTTTAAGGATAGGGCTTGCTTGCAGTTAGCTGATAGAAGGATATCATCAATGATTACCTGCGGCCGAGAGCACAGTAATCCATTGTTAAGCTGTAATGGGAAAACAAGATGGTATTTGTGAAGAGAAACTAAGTATTATATTGTAATTGCTCTTTATTCTCAAATGTTTACAACATTAAAGCAAGGTAACAAATGCTGTGGTTAGTGGCATTGCCCTTGACTGTTTTTTTCAATTAGCATTAAGCTATGTCTTTTAACAAAAGTATAGGCAATACAGTTAAAATATTGTTTAAAACTATTATAGATTTCATTTTGTGCACCACTGTGGTGAAAGTCTGGTTCTGTCTCTCCTAATAGGCAGTTGGTTGGTAAGGACTCATGGTGTGAAAATAACTGCTGATGGATGCATCCTTTTTAAAAAGTACTTGGCAAACCAGATACCCCAGAGAGTTAGATAACAAGTACATACTGGGGCCTCTCTGTGTTGTTGTCTGGGCTGTACTGGAAGCATGTGCCCACACTGGAGCTCTGAGTTCAGATACCATTGAATGTGGGCAGATTATGGTGAGATAGCTAAATAGTCTCCTCCCCTATCTGTCTGTTCTACTTCTTTCCTGAAAGCTTGTATTTCCGTGATAAGGGGGAGGTAACGATCCTAAAAGTGCCTTTAAAATTGCATGGGCTGAAGGTGGAGAAGGTGGCTGAGGTGTCTACATTCCATTGTGAAACGTGTGACAAAAGGGAGGAAGCAACTAAAAACCCAACCAGGTCTGAAGTTCTGCACAGCCTTCATTTCCCCTGGTACAGGCCAGATAGATCCCATTTCATTTATTATTAAAACTTCTGCTGAACTTCTGGAAACTGATATCAGGGAAGAACATATTTTGCGTGGAAAAGTGCTGTAGAATACCAGTGAGGAGAATGTGACTGCGAATGACGGTGGGAGTGTTTTTATTTCATCTAAGTTTGAAACAGGAGAACAGGACAGACTGCTGAAAGCAACTCTAGCAGTGCAATATCCAGTATCGGGCGAACAAAATCCTTTTGTTTCCTGACCTCGGCCTCATCAAACAAACCAAGAGAAAAGTGTTATTGAGCCAGAGGAATCTGTTTACTGGAAAGAATACTGAGGCTCTACGGTGGCATCTTACAGCCCGAGAGATGTTGGAAGAGAACAGACCTGTTCTGGAAAGGAGAAGCGGCAACGATGCACAGATGACAGCAAAGTCAATGGAAAATGAACTTGCATGAACTACAAAGTAAACCCTGTCAATAATTTTGATTTCTTTATTTAGCTGACAGCTGTACCTAAAATTGATCTCAGTTATACTTGACGAAAGATGTTTTAAGGACTGTTTAACTGACATGTGCATTTAATTCTGTGTGAAACGTCCAGTGAAATATGCTCATGTCTTCAAAAATGCATGATGTGGTTGAGTGAATAATGGTGAAAAATATCTATCCAAAATTATTGTTGGTTTTCTATATCGTAGAGTTAATGAAGCTATTTCTTAGTGCTGTATTGCAATGAACTCTGGAAGCTCCTAATCATCTTGATGTAATTTCAGAGACTTTCTTTAGTATTTGTGCTTTGCTTTCACTACCAAACAGGCTTCAGTATATAAACATTCTTACACTATATCTTGATGTCCATTCTTTGGTATATGTAATTAATCATCTAAGCTATGTACTTTGCCTCTTGACTGGATGATACGCTTTCAAAATATGAAAAATATAGTGTATATAAATAATGTATTTTCACATTAGATTCTTGTATTAATTTCTTATTTGTATTAAGCTTCATGTTTTTTTCTGGAATTTATGACAACTTTTGAATACTTATAGATTAGCATAAGTAACAGCAGCCAACAAAATTCTCTGCTTTTAATCAAAATCACTTCTATTATTACTAAAAATATAAATACATTAAGTATGATCCTACAAATACTATTCCAATATATTATCAAGACTTTTCCACAATTTTATTCATGCTTCTAAGAAGCATGTACAAAAAGGCGTAAGACAGAAAGAAATTTTTGAATGCTAGTCCAAAAGTTATAAAATGAACTTCTGGTTTATACCTTTAGTGAAAAAAAAAAAAAAAAAATTGCTATAAATTACAAGATGGAACTCATCATCTGAAAGCAATGATACACCTCGACTTTTCATAGACCTATTTCAGCCTGTGGGTGAGCTACACACACCAAAAAACTACCAACTTCGACAAAATATATGCAATAAATCATACGACCCTTCCTCACACCTGCAGAAGAGTTGGGTAAGCAGCTGAATCTTGCAGGGTGTCCTGAAGGTCACCACCTCAACCTCAGGCTCTCGAGCACCAGAGAAGTGAGAGCAGGTGTCCTGCACACCTTGCCTTGCTCACCCTAATGTGACATTGTGCCTTTTTTATTTGACATAGTTCCTTTGGCGGGCCTGACGGTGTCATGTCTTCTCATGCACTTGAGGAATTTGTTTATCAAGGCGAAAAAAATACAATCCACTATCTGCAGCTCCCCTGGAGATCCCCAAAGGGGCTGGGATATGATGCGTTGATAGACTCAAGGGATCAACCCAGTCTAAGCAGCATGTCATTTTATCAGGCATCTAAGGAAACAGGGGTAGGAGGTGTACAGTTTTATGTTTTCTATAGTTAGATCTGACTTCTGCAAGCCCTTTCTTAGCATCTGAAACTGAACATCCTCTTGATATTTAAATTCTGAATGTTATCATCTCTCCTGACCAGCACTGATGTCACGAGCAGAAATCTTGGACACCTGCTGAAACAGCACTGACAATTTGCTGGATTCTGAACAAATTTTAATCCATCAAATTTTATTTTGGTGCTCATTCTCTTTTCACAAGCTGTTCTCCTCCCCCACTGCTAGAGAATCCTGTTATTCTGGATTATATGTGGCAAAAGAACAGAATGGCAGATGGGACCGCTCCGCATTTAATGCCTTTGGGGAGAAGAACACAAGGGCATGCAGAGCACACGTGTGGCCCCACAGCAGTTTGTCAAGTCAAACCCTCAGAAATGTGGGAAGCTTGTGCCTGAAGAGTGAGAGTCACATAGACAGAACAGCTCAAAGAGCCACACTTCTGCTACGAGAAAACTCACTATTCTCTTATGAATTTCTGAAGCATTCAGTCTGATATTTTGTAAATCAGAGGTTTTGCTCAGGAGGCTGGGGAAGACTTGGAAGAGAAGGCATGAGAAGAGGGATACCATCACCTCCCGCTGGTATGGGAGGGAGGTATCACCTCCATGCTGGGAGGTGATACAGTGGGTGGGCACTAGCAACAGAAAAACTAGATCACAGCTATATTGAATCTCTTAAATCGTACTTTAATGTGATCTACGTACTCATTTACAGAGACACCAAGAGTAACACACTTCGTAGAATGACCTGCTTTAAAATGTTCATATATCCCTTGTCCCTGGGTGTCGTTGCATTGTTTAGCGACCAGCACAAAATCTGTCTTTTGCCTTAAAAGCACCGATTTGGCTGGTGAGACAGGGTAATGCAGAACCCTGAGCGAGCTGTACGGACGGAAGACATCTTCCCCTTCCAATATACTCTTCTCCAACTTCTGAAGCAGTCTCTACAAACAGAGCTTTTCCTGGTCTTCAGTCTGCTCTCTGTGGCTAGCTTCAATTGCTAGGAGAAAAGAAACAGGCTTAGCTTCTGGGCTAGTCATGAGGGAATGACACACAGTCCTCCCTTAGATGAACAATAGTAGAAAGAAAGGCATCTGTCTGCTGCACCACACTTTTTCTTTTTTTTTTTTTTTTTTTTTTTTTTTTTTAACAGCTGAGATGATTAAGTGTGAGCCTGCAGAGCTAAGCTGCTGCTGCCGCGTTTGCCTGGGCAGAAGCAGAAAAGCTTTGGGAAGAGCCCATGCCCTGGGGGTGTGCGTAGGGAGGCTAGTTTGGTGCCTGGACAAGTCTGAACTGTCTCTAGAGTACGCACGAACAGCAGCAGCCTCAGACAGCGGGCAGCAACCAGCAATATGCGGTGACCAGTTAATGCATCCTGTAACGGCAAAGCAAAACTGAGCAGCCCTCTTCTTCCAAGCGAGAGGCGCAGCCTGCATTCAAAACGCAGTATCGTACGGGCCCTTTATTAACTGGGGGGTTCGTGCCCTTCATCTCCGCTGATCTGCAACAGCCACTTCAGCCAGAGGATCCCGCAGCTGGTGACGGCCACCGGCAGTGCCACCAAGCCACTGCCCCAGCGCTCCTCTGGCAGCTGATCCGGGCGGTGCAGCCGCAGGTTGCCTCCTTGAGCACTGGTTTTTTTAACAACTGCTAAATTTTCTTCGCCTTCTGTAGTGCCACCTGGCGTCGGTTCCTCGAATGGGGATGCCCTGCAAACCCTTTTTCGCAAGGCCCTCTGAACTTTTGCAGGTAGATCTTCGGAAGGCCCCAAAGATCGGCCCTGCCCGACCTTTTGCATGGACGCAAGCATCATTTCCCTCTGCTACTGCAGACACACAGCTGGTGACCTCCAGCGCCTGTGGTCCTGCTAACTGAAGCTCTCTTCCTTTCTGCCAGTCAGATAACTTCAGCCAGATATGCTAAACAAGCCTGCCTCCACCGTCTTTTGCCATCCTCTGTATAACAAAACTAACATTACCAATTTTGCTGTTGCATGCTGATCAGCAGCAGCAGGTTTGTCACACAACTTACCGATAAGTTGCCGTGTCAGAGGAAAGGGCTCTGTGTAATCAGACACGAGCTCTGACCTGTTTTAGCATTGTTCTGTTTCCTGCAGCAGAAGAATATTAGATTCAGATCCTGGTTCTTGTTTTACCAAATGTCATGTCTCAGCGTTTGTGTTTTACTTGTCCCATTTCTCTCTCTGCTCTAGTACTCGGGTGTTCTCAGGTTGCAGTTGTGCAGCTGCACCTTCTGAAGCCAGCCTGGAGAGAAATACAATCTGGAGAGCTCGCGAGGAGACATCTCTCCCAACAGTCTATAACTTGTTCTTATCATGCAGCCAAATGGTCTCATGGTTTTTTTTTGGAAGACCATAGAAGACCAAGCTGGTTTTAGACATTAGAAATCCAGAGTTTGCTGATTATTTGCTCTTTCCGTCATTTCCAGTTAAGAGTTGCAGTTTTAAAAATGTTAGCTTACTCTGGACAACTTTGCTCGTTCCCAAACAATGATTAATTTATTCTTAACATGTCATAGGTGAATAAAATGAGAGAAAATTTATGATTAGCAGATGCACACAATATATTAGCTGACTCAGTACTTACTAACACAGACAGTTCCTTTATTACATTAATTTTTTGCAGCCACCTCAGCACTTCTTTCCACTACTCTGCATGAATATATGTGGAGTCTGGCACCTGGAATTATATCTACGCTGACATATAACACCCAGAGTAATTTCTCACAAGTATAAGCCTCCAAGTTCCCAACTCCACAGTGGAATAAGCCTTGGGCACCCAGTAGCCTCCTCCCTATGGCCTGCTCCCCGCGTGGAAGTGGGCAAGGTGCGGGGCCCAGGTGCGAGCCACGCTGCACTCCCGAGTCACCAGCACCGCCCAGTCGGCCGGCGATAGGCTCCACAGCGGTGCTGCAGCAGGCGCTGGGGAGTTAGCACAGGCGAGGCCATGACGCCGCGGTGCACCGGCAGGAAACACGCATTTTCTCCTTCCTACCTAAGCTTTTAGAGTCAACGCCAGTGCAGCGCAGGTAATAAGTATGGGCTGGGTAAATGCAGTGGCGGTGGGGTATTGCCTTTGGTGAAGAGTTGCTATAGCTCCCCGCAACGTAGGGCCTTACATAGTAATGGCCAAATGGAAATTGAGAATCCTGAGCCAAGGTTGGATGCACGGCGGTGCTCCTGCCTCACACACGCAGGGTGGTCTGTAACTACACAGCCAAAGACCGTCTTCTTTTTCCCAACAGCTTCAGATACGGTGGAGTCCTCCCACCATAAACGTGACTACCCTTCTCTTAGGCAAACCTAACTAGGCACCTAGAATCCTAAGGTGCCCATAACTGAATTGAGATGTCTCACATTATAGTAGATAATTCAGGAAAACTTCTAATTTTCAGCTAACTGATTTCTCAAGTATTAGCCCAAATAAGGTTTGTTGTTGAAATTCTTCCTCCGTTTATTAAAGCAGACTGTGTTGGAATTACTCAGTGTAATATTTTCTATCCTAACTGTTTGATAAATAGTTCCGTCCAGTTTCTGTTCTGTTTCTGTCCAGCAGTGGGAAGTGCATGGGAAATGAAATGAACCTGCACAGTGTCCTGGACTGGACCCTGCTTTGTTTGAGCACGTGTTTAATTGTCTTATTGTGTCTGTAGAAGGCAGGATGATAATCCTTGCTCTTCAGTTCTGTAAGAAATCAGAAACAACTGAAGGAAAATCTCATTTCTTCAAATTACCACCAACTCATTTTGGAGAAAAGATATTCCTAAACAAGAGCATTAGAAGACTTTTACACAAAGATTATGCCACTGTTATTATGCTCTCTCCCTCATGAAGCAATAGCTATAACTGTAATCACAACCCAGCGAATTCCAACCTTCATGAGAAAAACTAGGCTTTCTAAATTATATGGAATATAGTGTTCATTTTTTTTTTTTCTTACACTGAGGATAAGAGGGTTTTCTGACTTTTAAAATGCTTTTGGCATTAGAAAGATAATAATGACTTCTTTCTTCAGGTGTAGGAAACCTGAACAGTCTGTTCATAACAAATGTATGCTTCTGGTGTGCCTTCTAGAGATGT